GTAATAAACCAACAAGTAGTCGATTTCTTATTATTACTGTCATTATATAACCAATGTCCAAATTGTTTCAAAATGTTAAAAGTGAACTGGATTTCGACATAGAGAATAGCCGATTCAATCTATACCTGAAATCATATAGTGATGGTCGAAATTCTCAATGGGGGAATAAACAATCAGGTTATATACTACTAGTCTAGTCGAGTCTAGTCGAGCCAGCACTCATAGGATTTGGTACTTTAGCTTGAAACTGTATATATGTTATACATCTCCTTCATCAAAATTTAACCCAGGAGAGGAATCAGGTTGAAATAAAGAAATAAAAATATACTTTTGAAGCGTCTTGCATCGAATAGCTACACGTCCATGCATATTTCAAGGACTTGAGTACTCAAGTAAACTGAAATTCTGCTTCAAGTTATCTCTGTTAGTTATCTTGGATGTTCGTTGAAGTCTGTTGGCTTTCATAACACTAAAGAGACACTTGATGTTTGTTGCAGACTAGTCTGAGATACCGTAGTTTGTGTGAGAGCTTGTATATCCATTTTGTGGATGCACTACTCAGAGCAAGTGGAGAATTTATGTTGATGGGTTTAGCATGGACCCCATTTTTCTTAGTCAGTAAGAGACAATCTTTTATTCAAGCCAAATTCTCTTTTACAGTTGAATCTTTTATTGAGGATAACTAATTGGTATGGCTGGCTGAGGTAAACACACTAGCCAGTGACAGATTTAAACCAAAGAAATAACACTACGGAAAACTCACCTTTGAGAAGAGATAACGAACATTAGGCCAAGCGGGTAGCTGCTTGAAGATAAATGCCATCACTGGTGAATCGGGAAAACCTTGAACAGGAACCCAGTAACCTCCACGTGGACTAGCTCTTATATTATCTGGAAAACCTGGCAGACCATCTGCGAACACTGTAACTTTACCACCATCTAGTGGTACCCGTAATATGCGTAACTTCACTGTTTCAGCAACCAGGATAGATTTACCATCACGATGAAGCTCGATTCCATTTGGGAAACGTAAATTGTCGAGTATTACACTGTGTTTACCCGTGTTTATGTCGGCCATAATCAATCTGGAGTTTTTAGTGAAAGAAGCATTTGTGTATTTTAGTTGAGCTGAAGTAATGTGCAAAAAAGTTCATTTTTATGTACATTTCACACTGTTAGGTGTGAAAAATTTGATGTTATGAGGTTATATCCATCTTTTGGTCTTTTGTAGTCATTTGTAGTTGATAAATATGTGAAATCACGTGCGAATCCACTGAAATTATTCCCACATGCTACTAATCAGTACTGGGGAGACTGGTAAGGCAGGGTGATATGGGGAGGTGAAATAAGGGTTGAAAAGCAAACTGTTAATAATAGTAATACTAGAAATACTGCAGGTTGAAAATATTAACTGTTTGAAACGATACTACCAAAGTTGTTCAAACAAATTTCCTGTAATCCGACTTTTTAGGCAGTCATCGTTTCACCAAAGTTGAGATTCAATCTGCGGTAATTCACATATGTTATTGTGAATACTCTACATCTCATTTTCATGCCAAAACAAACTTAACTATACTTTCAGGAGGCATGTTTTCTTTCTTCAAAAGCTTGAACTCATTGAGGTGAGTGTGTTGTACTTGAGAATTATAGTTTGACAGAATAAGACGACATCTTGAAGTCTTTTAACAACTACCACCCCGCGATTTAGTTCACGCTAGAGAAACACTCCAACTCCAAAATATCCTTTCTTGACGTCCAACTAGCAAGACGAGAACAGGATGAAACACTGAAAAGATCTATCTACAGAAAGTTGACGTGGAACGTACAGCTTACTAACTTTCACATTTCGGCACCTCTATACATCAAACGAAACCTGATCCGTTCACTCAGCTACACACTTCGCAGAATTTGTACCCCGGACACCATGGAACATTAACTGGACAATCTGAAGAGAATCCTCGTCGAGAATTGTTATCCAGAAAGATTCACTGCAAAATCTATGAATCCTAGACCACAAACGCCGCCCATTCTTAGCGTCCCGAAAAACTACTCTACATGAACCTTCAATTCAATGGAGATATATCTGCGTAAACACTGAAAAATCGGCGGTCCTGTTCACTTAAGAAGACCTTGTTCGCAGCTGAACTACGACAAACATTCTCCACAAAACCTATGATTCATGTGAACGTGACGGATAAGCTACCACTGCTGGCCTCATCAATGTTTATCTATCAATTCTCCTGCTCATGTGGAGCCAGGTAGGTCGGCCGTACCCAGCGTCGGCTTTCCAAACGTATCACCAAACACTTACTAACATGGTTTTACATAGGAGAAAACCGATGCCCCCGCAGTTACATCTTAGAACATCTGATAGATTCTGGACACCAAGCTACACCCCAAACAAACTTCAAAGTCGTCTACAGAATACAAAGTAGTCTTCCTGAAGATATACGATTCAGACTTCTTCAAAGTGCAGAAGCAATGGCGGTTCACTTGCTGAGTCCTGAACTCTGCATACAGAAGAAGTTCGTTCAATCACTTCACTTGCAATGGACGTAATTTATCTTATTACCCGACAGGTCAATTTTACCTAATCTTTTTTCTTCTGTCTCTTCATTAGTATTACTTTGTCTTCTCAGTTGCGACATTTTACATTTTCAACTTTCTTGTTCTCTACCCCTGCCCGATTTAATTTCTACACTTCATTGCCATTGTTACTGACTTGAACATCGCTCGATTTCTAGTCATTTTGTTACGTCATCCAACTTATTTGGTCAATTTCAGTTCTAATTTAAATGGCATTATTCTCCATCCCACTTCTACTTAGTCTCTACCGGTAATTACCTCTGTTCCTCCCTGACCTAAGTTTAAACATTTTAGTCAAGTATATTACGTCATCTAACTTACTAACTCAATCTTACTTTAGTTGCTGTCCGATAAACCTTGTTTGTATATTAGATCATTCTTTTATTACCTGATCAATTATGACAAACTTGGTGCTGACTATCTGAATACTAATGGCTTACTGTTGAATGATAAAAATATGATTCAATTCAAGTTATGTCAGCCGGTTAAAGAAAGAAATAATAATGATACTTTAAGCGAATTTTCGTCATCTGTCGTTTCGTGAAGAAGGTGATCTAAATAGCCACCCCTCTTTATCTGTAAATCCCAAATGTTCATTTGTCTATTAATCTACACCTAATTGCTAATTGTATGTTTTCCAATACTTTAGTTTTCTAGAGTCAAGTTGGAAATACCACCTATGCAGAACAGAAAAAAGGGCATATCTACGATTTTCTGAACATGTTCTAAAAAGCTCATGTATAAAAAGAACAAATTTTTTAAACAGTGCCATCGCCAGGCATCTTTTGACCCAAATCATGAGGTGGACGTCGCGAAATCGTTCAAAATTATCAATACGCAAAACAGTTAAGTTCTCCTCAATTTTGCTGAAGTCATTCCCATCAGTTAATATTACTGTGTAACACTGTGTGACTTATCAAAATAAAATCTTATCCATAATGGAGCTGTATCTCCATCAAGTCCCTTCAACCTGATTTATGCGTTCAGAAAGAAGCAGTTATCAGACGGAAGTTTCCATTGTGCATCATCATTATTGTTCGGAATAGTGTTAAATATTATATATAAATATATACAATTACTGTATGAATATACTGATTGATTTTTGTTTAGAAATGAACCCTTTGAAGTTTGTAAAAATTGTTTCTGTAGATCTATTTAAGAGTGGCTTTGGCCTGTAAGCAGTTGATGAGAAGCCAACGAAATAAATGCTGGTACCATTTTATTCTGCAGAAACTAATTTTCTTGCTTTATTCATGTGTTTTTTTATGCTGGACTGTGTTTCATAATCTGACATTTCCATACCACATGTTGACATTTGATCTTTATTATTCCCCTGGGTTCTTGTTTAATCTCTAATATTAATACTTCTCCTTGTGGTTGTATGTACATGGACAATGTGTTGTTTGAGTGAATAAAAGTCATTCTAATCCGGGACAGTCTACATGGAGCGTTGATGTGTAATTCTTGTGGACAAAGTTTTGATCCCACCTCCTTGGTAATGTTTTCCCTAATTCTAAATACTTTTTTCCAGTTTAACATTGGTCAGTTGATTTTTCTCATAGAGAAGGCTATTTTTATTCAGAAAATACAAAACTTGTACAGCTTCCTTACGGCACTGTTGGGTTAATTTCCAGTTTGATGTGGTTACTGTTTAGCAGAACCGGTAAAATATTGGAGAACACTCGTCTTTTTTCTGTCTTCGAAGTGCTTCATGATAGATGCATCTTCTGGGAATACAAGCAAATGACTGTTGCATTTATGGATTCTAAAGATGCGCATTTTGTACGATAACTGAGATGCATGCGTAGGTAAATAAATGCTCACAGATTTATCTAACTATGTAATATGGAAACCAAAATAGATGGTGCTTATATTAATAAACATTTAAGAAATTTCGGATTATTTGTGCCTACGTATTTCATGTGTCTATTATTTATGTGCATGAACGACATTTATCTGAGCGGAGAGAATTATTAATTATCCAAACTTATGTAGAACTGTGTGAACATTTAATATAAAGTAACAACCAACAATGCAAGCACAATCTCACTCACCTTCCACTAGGCAATCCCTCCAAAAGTGCTTGCCAAAGTTCTTGTATAGTGTAATTTGTACTAGCTTCAGTGATAAAAACACTACCATTCGGAAGGAGAAATGAATCATCAAAAAATGTAAATTTGAAATCATCCTTCAAAGGAAACAACTTCCGAACACCACCTACATGCGAAAGGAAATGAATCCAACTCATAGATAACACTAACTTACCGTTTCCAGGGATACAGAATATACACCCAAGTATGCATCAGTCACAAGTAGGCGTGGTGAATTCCTCAACATTCTCAAACCTAACGGTCTACTGCACTGATTGGAATTAGCTGAATGATTGAATTAGTAGTGAATAGGGTGAACATTACTGCAATCTGGTGAGGCGAGTGTTGCATGAACAGTAATCCCAGAATCGTTTATTTTCAATATTTTACCTTCCTTCACAGTGGTGTACAGAGAGCCTACAGAATATAAATATTCGAAGCATTGAAATGACTTACCATTGTAAAAAGCGAAGCTTTCAGGGCCGGTGTAGTATTGTAAATGAATCTTTTCCAATTTACTGTACTTGTCGTTTGAAATTAGGCGGTCATCCAATTCCAGTGATGGTGGCGTCACATGATATACACGTGGATCCGATGATTGTGACAAATGTTGGTGGATTACATAGGCGAGGCAAATGGCGAAACACGATGATAGGAGAATATTTCTTAGCCTTAGTCCCATTAACTGTGCAGTGAATTTCTGGTCTTGTTAACAATAACATCTTTATTAACATCGTGTTTTTATAAAAACACACCAGATGACCTTAAGTGAATTTTTCAAACAATCAATAATTATTTTGTTTGACCTTGACACAAGTTAATAACAGATACGCGTCTCTGAACCAATGAGTTCAGAGTGAAAAGAGAGTGTGCTGCGTGTCTCATATCACATCAAAACTTCATTAAACATTCAATATTTTGTTATGTATTGTTATTCGGAATGTTGTAAATATGAATAATGCATACAGATTTTATGCATTCTTCCAGTTGCTTAAATTTTACACATCTGAAGTCCTAAAATGTCGGTATCTGAAGTTACAATCTCACTGTAATCCTCAGTATTAAATTGTGTTCATCTGAAAACATAACATGATAGCAATACTCTTAATATCGATCTGCTCATCTCTTTATTGCACGCTGCATTGATAGACATTCATCAGTAACCTGGGATTACATTGGTTATCACATGTACACAGAATGATACTAATCAATCATATCGATTCGTCTATACATAACTTACTAGTTTTACCACTAAAAATTATGAAAACTTTTGTTTCGCTAACATCACTTGTTCGAAGTCAAATTTAAGTCCGATACAACTGCTGAATAACATCCAGTGAGGTATTCATATTAGGCAGCGATAAATCACAATCAGAAAAGAACCACAATCCATGGTTTTTAATGTTTCATGGAATTTAGTAAGGTTTTAAGTCATATCATCAATAAAAGATACATCCCAAAGCTGCATGCCGAGTAATCCACAACGGGAAACTTACGGAATCCTTCGAAGTGAAGACAGAGTAAGACAACAAGCTGCCTACTATCTCCAATGATTTTTCTGATTGCGGTAAACTGGATAGTGAGACAGACAGTAAGCAGGCAGAGAGAAAATAGGAATAAAATAGACCGACAAGAGAAACTTGAAGAATTTGGATTTCGCCGATGATATATTTGTGATCTCCCACAAACTGGAAAACATGCAAGGGCAAAGCAACACGTTACCAGAAGAACCATCAAACACACCACTTCAATTCAGGTGAAAATAGACAAAACAGAGGTAGATGATGAAGATTCCTGACCAACAGAAACAGCAGAAACAACAGACAACAAATAAGAGGAACCTGAAAGAAACATCCTCCTTCATCTACCTACCCACCTGGGAAGAATCGTTCCAACTACAGGCGGACGGAACTGATGAAGTTGTCAAAGCAGCGAGAATCGAGAATGAAAGGCAAGCTTTATTACTCTCAAGTCTGTGTGGAGGAGATTAACAGCACTCAGCATCTAAATGAAAATAACATCCGGATCTTCAATTCCAATGTGAAGTCAGTGTTTGTATACGGATCAGAGACTTGGCGCCACGGAAAGCACTTCGCACGAACTACACACCCTCTTCAACAGATGTCTACGCTCAGTACTACTCGAGATCAGATAGTGGATCAGAAAAGATCAGAAACAGGAAGGAATCTCTGACCATAAGCTAAACAACCCAGCAGTTGTGAACCAGTTGTACAACAATCATGCAGGAAGAAATGGAGGTGGAGTCTCTGGCCACACTCTGAGAAAATAAACCATCAATTGAGTGATATCACACACCAGGCTCTCTCTCTTGAGTGAAACCTGACTGAATGGAAATCGGCAGGTTGGTCGTCGGTGCTATGGTGACATGGAGGAGGAGGTTATCGGAAGAGGAAATGAAAGCATGTGGTCAGACGTGGATCCAGGTGAAAACTTCGGCTGGGAACCAAACGCAGTGAAGACGTGTGGTTGAAGCTCTATGTTCCTCTAGGAATTAAAGGAAACAATAATAATAATAATCAACGTGCAAGAAACAAAGAAACAATAATCCTTAGTTCAGTTAGTCCAGATTAATATTCTTAAAATAAGGTCACAGAAATTTCCCATTATTTTTCATTCACACTGCAAGAGAATACAGCAATTCAATTAAAAATAAACATTGAATTCCCATCTTCATTAAAGGTGCTTGATCAATTTTCTTACTTTAATAGATACACTATTCTACACAGCAAGAGAAAATAGGTGTTAAACTGAATAATATTCGGTGCACTTTTAAATGGTTAGATAGTCAGTAGTATAGTATGCGGTCAACAGTAATTTGCTTTTAGATAACTTAAAATGTTAAGCAATGATGTGTTAGTTAGTATACTATTTCATATAAACTGTAAATAACTTATTAGCAATAGAAACAGTCATTTTATTGTTTCACTCGGTGGATTTCGAATGAAGTGTATCAAGAATTACATTGACAGAACAGAGAGAAGAGCATATCTCAGATTCTCTGAGCATGTACCAAAACGTTTACACCTCAGGAGAACAAATGGTTTGAACACTGCTATTGCCAGACATCTTATTGATTCAGGCCATGTGATGGACAGCGTGAAATCCTACAAGATTATTAGTGGCAATACAACTCAACTGTCCTCGAATTCACCGAAGCATTTACTATTAAACGTTTAAAACCTGATCTGTGTTCAGAAAAAGATTCTCTTATTAGTGAACTCAATGTCTAATCTCTTTGTCTTAGTTGATTGAATGATTTTTGCTTTCACCCTACTTTCATATTGTTTGCTTTAAGGGCAATTCAGTTCTTTTTGATTCTATTACTTGAGTTGAACTCATCACACTATTACTCATCATCAACTTCTCTCGACTTTTGTTAACTGTGCAACTCAATTTTCAATGTATCCGACCATTGATTTTGCATCATTGTGGAACACTGTTTATTAAGACATGTCGTTGTTAACAAATATAATCTTGATCCTTCTTAGTATGACAAACGTCTGCGTACATTTACATTATCAACTTTTAGGTTGTAAGCAGATAAAGAAGAACCAACGAAATAAACGATGGCCTCATATTATTCTGCACAAACATTTCTTTTTGTTTTGTTAATATTCATAAAGGAAAATTAATGTAAGATAGATTTTCATATCTGAATCTTAATTTATTGCTATTGTGAATTATTATTGGTATTGTTTCCCTTAATTTCTAGAGGAACATCGAGATTCAGCCGCACATCTCCATTGCGTTCGGTTTTCTGCCAAAGTTTTCACTTGGTTCCACGTCTGACCACATGCTTTCATTTCCTCTTCCGATAACCTCCTCCTCCATGTCACCATAGCACCGACGACCAACCTGCCGATTCCCATTCAGTCAGGTTTCACTCAAGAGAGAGAGCCTGGTGTGTGATATCACTCAATTGATGGTTTATTTTCTCAGAGTGTGGCCAGAGACTCCACCTCCATTTCTTCCTGCATGATTGTTGCACAACTGGTTCACAACTGCTGGGTTGTTTCGCACATGGCCAGAGATCCCTCCATCTTGCTGATCTCTTGTGACCAGCCGTCTGATCTTGAACGAAGTTCTCAGCGAAGAAATCTGTTGATGAAGGTGTGTAGTTTGTTCGAACTGGCTTTCATGAGGTTACGCTGAGTCTATGATCCGTATACAAACACTGAATTCACACTGGAGTAAAAAATCCATATCTGATTTTTCATGCTGAATGTTGTTGACCTTCATACAAACTTGAGAATAATGAAAGCTTGCGTTGCTTTCCTGATCCTCGCTGCTTTGACAACTTCATCAGTTCCGTCCGCCTGTAGTTGAAACGATTCTTCCCAGGTGGGTAGGTAGGTAGTTGGGTAGGTAGGTGAAGGAGGATGTTTCTTTCAGGTTCCTCCCATTTATGCTGATTGTTGTCTGTTGTTGTTGTTGCAGTTGTGGCTACTGGCCAGGAATCTTCATCACCTGTGTTTTCTTTGTGTTCACCTGAATTGAAGTCGCATGTTTGATCCTTCTTCTTCAAACTTTTTTGTTTTCACCTGCATATTTTACAGTTTATGAAAAATTAATTTTTTCGTGTACGAGTATTGTTCATGTATTTAGTTATATACTGTTTCATGTCGAAGTAACATTATTTGAGGTCGAATACCATTATCAGTTATGACATTTATAACAAAAAGGAATGAGAAATTGATATACTTTTTATAATTTTTATTTCATTAAGTAGAAAAGGATCTTATTGGCTCTCTTGTCTCAACAGCGTAGACATAATCAACTTAAAATTAGAATGCTTGCAAAACGCTGTAGTTTATGATGGAAAGCCAACGTCAATAATGAAATAATTGTTTGGAAAATCTCTGCTGAAGTATCTGTTTATAATATTTATTTGGTTACCTCAACTAATTTCGTCATTATTATCTTTTTTCCCTAGACTTTATCTTAATTTCATTTATTTGTTCTTGTTTGGGCCTTAATTTTAATCCTTCTCTTTGTCGTTATGTGACTGTGTACATAAAGTGCTGTATTACGATTGTGATTTTGTTTGAATGAACTCATGATTTTGTCATGGAGGTTATGACCTTGGGCAGTCAGCAGGAAGCATTTGGTGCGTTTAATTCTTCTGGATAGAGTTCTGAACTGACCTTTTTGGGAATATTCTGTTTTACTCACATTTACTTCTTAAGGTTCTTTTTAACCGATCTAATTTTTTTGTACAGTACTTATTTTGTACTTGAGAAATCTGCGGGCCGCATGGTTAAAGCGATTTTGAGTTTCTTCTAGTGGTACCACACATTTAACCTCATATAACTGTATTTTTGCCAACATCAAATGGGGAAATCATGCCAACCAGTAGGTCACTTATAGGATGCCTTATTGTTTAGCATTATTTAGCATCAAGTGAAAAGTCTTGCTTCACCAGTGATGTGCAAGTTAAAGCCAAGCCATTTAAAATTATTCCAGGCATAGTTTTTGTATATAGACTAAGGTGTCATGAGGAAAACAGTGAATTTTACACGCTTTCTGGATCTCCTCTTCTGGCTAGCTGATGTCCACTCGTGATGAATTCCTCCAACCAATCAAAGAAAATCCCCACAAAACCAATACTTAGTGACTCCATTATTACTTGAAACTCTCTCCATTTTTAATAACCATTTTCAA